ACAAATATACACAAATAAAATGCCCATCTTAAGCCTCTCAATGTAATATTTTTGGGATCTTTCCAGCTTCTGTTATGTTTCCTACACCAACACTGAACAAATACAACCATGTTAGACTAAGAGACAAGTAGAGGTTTTTAAAAAAACTACTATATAAAACTGTTTTCCTTAACAGAATATAAGGTAAATAAGTAAAAATTCACTTAGTGTATTTTATTATTTTAGTAATTTGCTAATCCCCATTAACCAGCATGGCAATATAGTATTAAAACATTACTACACTGCAGCTAAAAAGCCTAGAGCAGACAGCAACTCTCATCAGCTCTTCTAATGCACTGCTTAATCTAAGACTCAGCACATCAATTTCCCAATTAAACAGTTTTAGTTTACACAAGACTTGAACTTTGTTTTGTAAAATTACATCTACAAAACACAAGAACTGAAAAACAGATGACAAACTAGACTAGAATATTTCAGTTGGAAAGGACCTATGGAGAAAACCTTTGCACAGGAATAAGCAGGAAAATGTAGTAGGTAATGTAACACCACTATCATTTTACTAGTCTTTGTACACATAACCTTTATTTTTTAAACTAAATAAATGCTTCCTACCTTTTTGCAATTATTATTCCATATTAAAAGAGCAACAAGTTCCAAACCAAAAAAGCTAACAGCTTTTGTAAAGGCTTTAGATCTGAAGAAATTAAGACTTTCTTCTGTACCAACAATCAAATTCACACAAATCTCATACACCAAAACTTACTTTAAAATAGCTTTCATAAAATCGTTAAATCCTCGCAAGGCAAAGCTAAAGCTTCAGTAATATTTCTGCACTAAATTTTCAAGTATATATACTTGAAACATCACAAATAAGCACTGCTTTACTGAGTGTAAGTAAGGGTATAAGGGAAGACTGTAAATTTCTAAAAGCCTAAAGACTAACCTGATGTCCAGAGGATATATAATTTACAATTACAAGTGTAAATGAGTAACCTACTTTCAAAATGTGCTATAATCATCTAGCTGAAACAATCAACATGAAATAAAGTTGGCTGGCTCTTCTTCAGCCAAAATAGCTAGTAAAAACAGCCATCTGATTTCTAGTTAATATAAGAAATCTTACATTCCCACCATTACTGAAATGTTCCTGGCCTCAGCGAGACCACAACACTAAAGTTCACAACACAAACAGAAGCTTTCTTTCTTTGAAGGATCTAAGTTGAGAGGCAACTTTAGCAACAAAGTAATGGTCATTCTGGCATGAGTATGAACTCACTGTCATTTCAGAGTACACTGCCATTGTAATATAACAATTTGAAGTTAGTCCAAATTATGTAGTGAACACTTCCACTACAAAACAGGTCACGCTAAAGCCATTATGAATTTATACAGCTATCCATATTTGACAAGAAGTCTCAAAGAACATGCTGAGCCCAACTGATAATTCTGGTAGTAGATAAATAGGCGAAAGGACAGTAAAGGGACTGGCAACTCAGGGAAACCCCCCCAAGATGCACAAGCAATAAAACCAACATTTCAGATGTATAGGGATGTTTGTTATGATTAAGTTATACTACAGAAAAAGTGCATTTGAAGACAGCAAAAATGTGAAAATCAGAAATACCTTACTAAAGCAAATACAGAGCTTTGGTACAGCACTAACACCAGTGCCCACTTGCAGTTTTGTCCATCTAGAACCCAGCATACAAAACAACAGTTTAATTTAACATGGATTTTTAGTTGCCCTCTGAAGATGCTAGTACAACCTACTAGTGTTTTACACACTTCAATGGTTACACTAGACATTATGTAGTTATTTTCAAATACTTCAGTGGCCACAAAGCAGAGAGACTATAAACTCAGGCATGCTCAGAGCAGATTCTTCTTGAATTGACAACTAAACTGTCCACTTCTGGTAGTACTGCAGCAGATCCTTAACATTGTTATCTGTACAATCACAGAATTAGGTACTTTTTTCTGTTTCCTTTCATAAAATTATTAGGCTGACGTGAGTGACAAAAACAAGTTTCTTTGCTCCCACGTCTCTGTACACAAAAATTTTTGTGCAACCCTTCACCTCACGCTGTCACAAGTGCAATCACAAGGTGAGCCAGATCAGGGAATTAGTCTGGATTACAACAAACCAGTTTTGCCAAGTTAATTTTAACCCAGAGTGAGTCTCTAATCTGTTACTGCAAGACACTATAGAAGTATTATGTCAGCGTGGCAGGGGGAGCAAGCACACCAACCAGCCCATCTCCTGTGGAGACCAGTGTCCATGACACTGCAGCCCGTATCACATGAGGAAATGCAAAGCACTGCTGGTTCTGTTTCAAAGCCAATTACTGCATCCTACTCAACACGTGATATTCATCCCTTCCGATGACAGCCAGCACAAACACCTTGCAAATGTGATACTAATCTTGTGACTTTCAGATAATCTCCACAATGTTTGATTTCCTTGTCTACACAAAAGCATTTTCATACTGTGTGCCAGTTCTTCAGAAACATTACAGTTAGGTTTGGAACAGAAGCACTTACTGAGACAGGCATCGGTCACGGCCCATGAAGTGCAGAGTATCATTTTGCAGACTTGAAGCAAAAAAAGTTCCACATCAACTTACTGCAAATAGGTTGCACTATCATTCTTCACATTAGTCTTCTTGGAACACATGAAGAATTTTATTACTATTGATAAGCCAATTTGTTTCACTTTTTTTCAGCTACTTCAAGTTATTTTTCTAGTCACAAACACTCTTACTGGTTAAGAGGATTTAAATTTTCCATATATATAAAAATCAAGTTAGGACTTCTGTCACAACCTATATTATCTTAAGGTCCATTTAATTTATCTAGCACTGTTCTCTACCATAGCAACTAGATGCAGCTACAGTTAAATTTAAAGCTCTCTTTAGAAAATATTTGGGATTTGTATTAGTTTCGTAAAAAGGCATATTTTTGACCATTTCTGTTTAAGTCTACCAGGTGGCTGAAGTATTCTGCAGTATTTTGACAGCAATATGGGGAAAAGGTGGAGACCACAAGCAGTATCTTGGCTGCCATCAGTCTCTCACATAAGATAGTGGGGGTAGTGATAGCAGAAAACGAGGTATTTATAAAATAATCCTCCTCTCAAAAGTCCAATACACATTGGCAGTATTCACCAGTATTAACTGCCTGTCATTTACTTGCCAAAGCCTGTACCTGTTTGCTCTGTACAAGGAGTCTGTCTTCTTTGACTTGACTTCAAAAACACAAATTAAAAGAAGCATTAACATTTACACACACCTAAAACTAGTATTTTCTACAATTTTAAGTATAAGGGATAGCAGTTGAATCATCCTGAAACCAAAAGACATGGAGGACACAACTAATGCAAAACTACAGCTTTAAAAAAATACAGATCCCTCTGGGCAAAATTCAGACAGGTATTTGAGCACTGAGGAGCAATTGTATAGCTGATTTCCTTGCATTTAGTAGTATCCTTACACTCAGCACTTGCAATCCCGGGATTAAATGATACGAAGATCAAAAGCAGGAAGAGATTTAATGGAAAAGGTATAAGCAATGAAGTAAGGAATATGTGGAGTAAGAAAACACTTGCTGGTCTTCAGGGGGGAAAGAACTATGGTTTCCCTATCATACACTCTGAAAAGAAGTCAGTAGCTGCAAAGATGTTAGGCACCCATGTTAACATTCCACGTTTCCAGCATTTACCATAAGCAAACTGGGAAAAGTACGTGTCTTATGTTAATTCCACTTCTAGACAGAGCTTTCTGGGGCGAGGGGGGTGGGGGGTGAGCCCTGCTGTCAAGTCCGACTAACAAAAACCTGAAGAAGCCAAGCAGGCAACCTCCTCGTGCTTTACAAGCCTTTGCAAACTTGAAACAACGGTGACTCAAAGCTCTCCATACGACCCGGCCACCCACATCACAGCCTAAGAGCAGCACAGGCTGAGAACACAGGAAGGTGCCGGTTTCATGTCATCCACATCCTCAGCGACCTCCGGAGGGGAACAATGGGGAGCGCCCGGGCACCACGGGGGAGCCCTTCGCACAGCGAGACCGGGCACCCCGCCACGGCCTGCAGGGCCGGGAGGATCCGCCCGGGCCGGCCCGGGGGCTGCGGGGTACGGGCGGCCTCCCCGCGGCTCCGCACCGCTACAGCCCGCAGCCCCCTCCCCGCCCGGGAGCAGGGCAGGGCGGCATTCCCGGCCGGAGGAGCAACAGGCACCCTGCTGCGGCCCCGGAGCCGGCCGGCAGGACCGGGAACGGGAGCCCTAAAGGGCATCATCCGCCGGGGGAGGGGTGCTCGGGAACCAGGTGGGGCCACACCGCACCCCAGAACGCCCCGCAAGGCGCTGCCTCCCTCCAGACACCGAGGCCGCCTATATGGCGATGGCAAAGGGGAAACATGACCTAAAGAGGAGAAGGAAAAACAAGGCAGGGTAGCTAAAGGCAGCCCCAGCACATGGAAAAAGCGCCACGGTCTCTCGCTCGGGTAACACAGCCAGCGGGAGCCACGGGTGCCCTGCGCAGCCTGTCTCCGGAGAGACCACGGCATTCAGCCCGTTCCGGCAAGCCTGGCCGGAGCGAGGTCTGCCCGGGGGCCCAGCACTGGCATTCTCCATCCCCCCGGGGGATCCGGGCCGCACACTGGGGCGGGCACAGGTAACTCTGCCCCGGAGGGCCCCGGGAGAGGGGGCGGCAGCGCCATCTGCGCGATATCGCCCGCCAAGCGAGCGGCGGGGCCCGGGCGGCACCTGGGCAGCCACCGGGTTACATCACCGCCCCTTCCCTCCGTCCGTCCCCCGGGGCGCGGCGGTGCGGCCACATGGCAGCGGGGACACCCGCGCTGCCCGGCCCGGGGGCGGGGAGGAGGATGAGGAGGGCGGCTGCCGGGAGGGAGGAAGGTGCACGCGCCGGGCCGCTCCCAGCCGGCGATGGGAGGGGTGGCGGGGGCTGCGCGTCTGGCCCGGGAGGGAGCGCGGCGCGCGTTACCTGCCCGGGTGGCTCCCCAGCTCACGGTCGCTCAGCGCCGCCGTGTAAATCCTCCGGTATCTGTCGGCCAGGGCCTTCCCGGAGAGCAGCAGCTGGTAGCGGCTACGGCAGCCCAGCGGCGGCGCGGGCAGGGCTCCCAGCCCGCCGGCCGAGCCCTCCTCGGGCCCCATGGCCGGAGCGGCGCCGCCGGAGGAGAAGGAGTAGCCGCGTTCGGCCCCGGTGCAGGCGGCGGCGGCTCCCGCAGAGGCGGCGGCAGCTGCGGCGCTGCTCATCCCCCTCCCCGCCCGCCCCCTGCTTGCGGCGGCGCCGCCTCCTGGCGCGGCGCGGACACAGGCGGCTCCCGCTGCCTTCACCGTCGGGGCCCGGCCATGGCGAGGCCGCAGGAGGCGCCGCAGGAGCCGCCCTTCAGGCTGCGCATCCACCCGCGCTGCGGGAACACCCCGCTCTTCCCCTCCTCCAGCGGCGGCGGCTTCAGGCCCCAGCTACCCCCCGCTCGCCTTCCGCCCCGGGCACAGCACCCGCCGCCACCGAGTCCCGGGAAGGACCGTGCACCGCCAGGACCGGCGAGGGAGGGGGCGGGCTGCTTGCTTCCCCCTTCCCGCTACAGGGTGTGTGTGTGGGGGCGGGGGGCGGAGGCCGGCGGTGCCGCTTCCCCTCCGGAGTTTGTGCTCGGCGCTGCCGCCGCCCTCTCCCCGCACGGCCGCCCCGGCCCCGCCTTCCTCCCGCGGGCAGCGCGGCCGCCGGGCGCATGCGCTGCTCCGCCCGCCCCGCGCGGCCCCCGGGAAATCCGGGCTAGGCAGGCAGAGGGAGTCAGGGAGCACCTGCTGCGTGCCGCTGGAACAGCGCGGGGCCGGGGCACCCGGGGTGGCCGGGGCACCCGGGGGACAGCCTCCCACCCCCGCGGACACGTCCCAGAGGGGTCGGGCTGCGCGGGCCCGGGAGGTGGGTATTCGCACGGAGCTTCTCCTGCGCTCTGTTGGGAGTGCGCATCACGGGATCAGTTGGGTTGGGAAGGACCTCAGACATCGTCGAGTTCAACCTATGACCGAACCATCGCCTTGTCAATTACACCATGGCGTCAATTGCCATGTCCAGACTTTCCCTAAACACCTCCAGCGACGGTGACTCCACCACCTCCCCGGGCAGTCCATTCCAATGCCTACTCACCCTTTCTGTGAAGAAATTCCCCTAATGTCCGGCTTGAACCTCCCCTGGCGCCATGTAAGACTCAGGACTTGTTCTGACCCTAGCGCCCAGAAGAGGCTGAACGCCGCCTGACTTCAACCTCATTTCGGGTATTTGTGCAGAGTGTGTGTCCATCGTATTTTACTGAGATGTCCCATGCCTCACACCTTGCCTCTGTGCTATGTAATGCTACCTGGGAAGGATCTATGCCCAAGAGCAATATCCTCCATGACATGAGGCAAAGTCCAATAAATCGAGTTGCCACATTAGGTAAAATTTTCCTTAAGTTGCCTTCACTATCTCCAGGGCAACCTACCTGTTTTTAGAGGATAAGAGAGGCATGGCAGCAGGCACTTTCTTATCTTCAGGTCACTTACATTATTGCTTTTTATCTGTTGGAGTTGTAGCCCTGCAGTTTTGCCAATTTTCTACTCCTTTATAAAGCTGAAAACTTCAAGTGTATAGGCCAGAATATGTAATATGTAATAAATAATAAAAAAAATAATTTAAAAAGCCTTCATGCCAAATGCGGTTTGGATTGCAGTCCACAGAAAGCTGTCATCCAAAGAAGGTATATGCTGACATATTATTTTTAATTCTACATTCCAAAAAAGGCCCTAAACAAACCGTGGAATTCCCCTTCTTGTAACTACAGGTAAATATTTTTGCAAACAATTACTGCATAATCATAGAATCACAGAATACCTGGAATGGATGTGACCCACAAGGATCATCAAGCCTCTTACCTGCTCAGGACAACCAGAAGCATAACATGTGCCTGAGATAAAATAATAGCAAATATAAGAGAACTGTGCAATTGCTATCTTCCTTAAGTTTGTGTGTTGCCCACCAGTGCTTAATCTTTCAAGCTAAATTTCAGGTACTGAGATGTTGGAACCAGTAAATTCATGCAGGTTTTCACAAAGGCAACTGTTCAGGTAGCAGAAAGACAGCCAGAGTAGTGCTGCCACTGAAGAAAAAGCTACTTTCTGATGCATTTACAGGCAACTAGAGACCATTCCAAAAAGTTTTAAAGCATTAACTACATAAAAAGCTTTTGATTATAATTCTTATACTGTAGTGGGTGCAGGAAAAAAAAATCTAGCAGTGATTAAAAGGAGCCATGAGAAAAGAAGTACCGTGTCTTATGGTGTTAACCACCACTAAAGCATATTCCCTAAGAGAATCAGAATTTCTAGCTCCTCTTCTAGGAATTACCTAGAATCATTCCTAAAGGTAAGATCCATAAAAACAAAGAAAAAAAAAGCAAACAAACAAGAAAACAAATGCACCCCAAATAAACAAAGACACACAGAAAAAACAAACATGAAAAAAGCAAAACCAGCAAATCCACCCCTTTTAGCTCATATTTTTGTTTTATTGTAAGCTGTAACTTTATATCCAAATAGTAATTTTTCCTTCACCAAATGCACACTGCCTGACAAAAGGGTCGAGTTCTGATATAACATCTTCTGTCTCATCTCAAAATTATTCTGCACTGCTGCCACTGCAGCCGTTTTACTGCATGGGCAATAAGTGCTGGCAAACTTTTATGAAAGTGATGCAATTTATTGCAATTCTTGCATATTGCTGCAAACTCTAGAATTTGTCTGGGCTTGTGTTTACAGAGCCACTCACAGTGGGGTGAGATTATTTGCAAACTGCAACTTCTACTCCACATCTGTTTTTATCTCAAGTGTTTTTCACTTTGGGTGAATTTTGCAAGGTGCCCGGAGTGCAGAGTCCACCTTCCATAAGCTTCAGTCTATGATGAGCAATGGAGTTTGACAAGGATTTGCCAGGCCAGGATAACACTGTAACTTCTTCTAGTCCACCTCTAACCTCTCTTCACTCAAAATACAAGCAAGTGTCCAACTTTTGAGACTCTTAATGGCACAAAGTGAGAGCTGGGTTCAGTCCTCATTCACAGCCATATTTTCACTTCTTGCTTTGTCCTCCAAGGAAGCCACCTTTTCTTTTTCCTTTATTTATTTATTTATGTGGAATGTGGTACTCTTGTTTCATATTCTGACACCGATTCTGAGCAACAGTATCACTACTGTGCCATGTAAGAACATTCAGAAGTACACATTTCATCTGGTCCAGCTTTATGCTAGATCTGATATTCACTATATCACTTGTAGTTAGCATAAAGTGTATTCTGCAAATCTGGGATGAAATAATTTCCAGTTCAAATCTATTTCCTTGCTTGTTAGTTGGTGGTGTTTTCTGTTGCTTGTTTCATTTTTTTTTTATAGGGATAATGTCATTTTGGAAACTGTTTGCACCGGATTAGCCCTCTGCTTTCTGTGGCTGCAGAGGTTTAGCAGTACATTTGAAAGATGGATTTATTATACCATCAGAACAAACCCAGTCAACTGAGCAAAGCTACTTTGTGCAGAATATATCTTACTTCTGACAGTATTCAGCTCTTTCCCTGTTTGCAAACATCTTCCTGCTAACACAGAAAGAAGTGCTTGTCCTTCGGCCTCTCCCTTTAAGGTGGGGCTTACAGCAGTTGTGTTCATTCACTTAGCACCTTTATAAATAAGTTTTAGCAGAACAAATTGTTTGCATGTCATCAAGAATCAGTCTGACAGTCTGTCTTATTCACTGTCACTGCTCACATGGATCAGCATTGTACAAATGTGAGTTTCAACACCGCAGAACTAGAATTTCCACCAGGTAATTCCCGTATCCTGCATGACAGAATGTAAAGTAGAAAGTTCCATGATTTCATAACCTAACCTTTTTACTATTTGATTATATTTCCAGGCCTTTTTTTTTTTAAGCTTTCAAAATATGATACAAACCAACGCAGTAATTTTTTCACAAGCAAGTAGTGAATCTAGAGTAAGACAACTTTAAAATTTGTAAACTAGACAGTTTACATGTCACATTGAAGCCAGGAAATTATGAAACATAGAATTTAGTACTTCTGCAGTTAAACCTGTAATTTACTACAGTCAGATGATGTGAGAATTCTTTGTTTGCCTGAAGCAACTAGCTCTTGCCAACACATTTGCTCCAGAAATAGGACTTAAATCAGTAGTAACAACAAAAAAACCCCATAATATTATTTTGGTCAATAGGCTTATGTCCCTGTCAAGATGTGAGGCTGTTAACATGATCAGTTAAAAGGACTGTTTTTCACCACATAGTTCCACCAAGCTGGCATCTGTTTTGGCATTATTACTCTGTAATAGAAATCTATAATTATTTAAGTTTTTATTAACCATTTATTTTAAGCATTTATTTTGAGACGTCATTATTTTTGGGGACATACACACAAGCACCAAAACCACAAAATTTCACAGCACAGTTCTTTTCCTGTGCTTTTCTATTATAAAGAGCTCTTTACTGATAGAAAGCACAGAACAGGCACTATACTGCCTCCATATTGCAGACAAAGCTTTCTTCTCCATGCTACAATGGAGCTGCTTATTCCTCACTATACATTTGTTTTCCAGATCAAATAGTGCCACTAACTTATGCTTACCCAGGTTTATTTTTGGTACGCAGAATAGATGAAGGAAAACAAAATGCACATATTTTAAAAATAAATTTAAATATGCAACTCACCAAATTTATTTGCATTGTCATGGGTTTTTTTTCCAAGTCAAGTTTTTCCATTCTAAATTGCAGAGACATGCTAAAGGAAAGCTATCAGACAAATGGCACTTGATTTTTTATGCCAGCTGTCACAAATACCAGAGTTGGATAGTCAAAAGGTACTTCTATGCACCCTTGAACCCACTTTTGTCTTTATATTACTTATTGTGCCAATATTTAGACCTTATTTCCACCTTAGAAAAACCCTGTCTTTTCCTTTAAATGCTTTCTTTAAAATTTATTTTGTAAGCACAAAAAAAAAATATGTGTGAAGTAAAAGCTTAGAGTTTGATGCTGACAATTATATAAGCTCTTCAGTTAAGAAAATTACTTCTTTTAGGTGGGGAGACCAACAAAGAAAACCCAACACCTTACTTCTGCCATGGTAATATAATTGGCATTAATCCAAATAAAAATAGGTACACATAGAAGTAAAAGAGAGTATTAATGAGTAACTTTTTCCTTTCAAAATTTCAGTAATTATTATTTAACAGTATTCCACCAGATTTCCCCTTATACAGAAATCCAGATTTTATATATATATATATATATATACACACAAATATCTGAACCAGCTAAGCACTACTTGAAGACAAACACAGTTGAAGAAGTATTACCAGCATATTATCAAAATTTATGCAGAACTTTTTAGCCAACAGCACTGAAGTTTGTGAATGAATGCAAAAAGTCAAAAACCAAAAATATTAGAAACTCACAATAATACATACTAGTAATATTTTATAATATATTATTGCTTTGAAAATATTATATAGGTTAAAAGGAAGGGCTAGTATGGCTTGACATTCAAATTTATGTATGTCAGAAAGCTTTGAAATTGGACCCTGGGCTGAAACAGTTCTGAAGCTTGGAAATTTCAAGTCCTCTTGAATATAGCAT